TTGTCTTAGACCAAATTCCATAACTCTGTTGAGCATTCTTCCTATCTGTACCAGATTGGGACACCTTAGACATGGAAAAGAAACTCATGGCTTTGCAACCAGGAGCTGTCTTGTAACTGTTGTTTCTATTGGCAATTCCCTAATTGACATGTATTGCAAATGTGGGTATCTAGAACTTGGTGTCAATGTGTTTAATCACATGTTGGAAAAAAATATTGTCTCATATAATACAATAATATCCGGTCATGGTATTTTCGGCCTTGGAGAGAGGATCTTTTCATTCTTTAAGCAAATGAAAGATGCAGGAATTAGACCCAATAAAATAACTTTCATTGCTCTCTTGACAGCTTGTAGTCATGCAGGACTAGTCGATAAAGGCTGGTTACTGTATAATTCCATGATCTATGATTACAATTTTCTGCCTGACAAGGAACATTACTCATGCATGGTGGACCTTCTCAGTCGAGCAGGGTTTCTAGATGATGCATGCCGATTTCTCAGAAGAATTCCAGTAGAAGCAAGCATAGATATTTTGGGAAGCTTGCTAGGAGCTTGCAGAGTTCATAAAAACATGGCCCTTGCAGAGTTTGCTGCAGAGCAAATTCTCCAGAAAAATGAAATAGATTCAGGATATTATGTTCTCTTGTCAAATGTCTATGCTGCAGCAGGAAAATGGAAAGAAGCACTAAAGTTCAGAACATTGATTAAAGAGAAGGGTCTGGTAAAAGAACCTGGAAGCAGCTGGATTCAGTTGGGTTCTAGTATTCATAAGTTTCATGCTGGAGACAAAATTAATCCAGAGTTTGATAGAATTCAAGAGATACTGGAAAGCTTATTTTTTGAGAGTAAGAACAAAGGCTTTATGGCAGACTTAAGTTTCTTACACCCTTAATCTTATAGGTAATGTTGATGATGTTTATTAGTTGAAGAAATTGAAGTAATCAGGTTGTTCTGGATGATTAAACCTCCAAGGCATTAATCCTGTTTTGGAGATGCATGTGAAATGAAACTACAAAACAGGAATGCCGCTAAAAATGGTTGATTGATCTTGTAAAAGCCATAAACAAACTCTATGGATCCTGTAAACTTTTCTTTCATAGCTGTAAAGACTACAAGCATAATCCTTGTTTTGACAGCCACATTGTACTGATGTTACAGGTCCCTAACTTGTAAAAACTCTTCATCTACATTCTTGTACCGGGATGCCCCTAATTTCTGTTATCGGTATAATATGATAAGCAGCATTTTTTTTTTTCTTTTTCACGCTAACCGCAAACTTTCTGGTGGATGTTTTAGCAGAAATCTAAAGCTAGTTGGTGGATAGTGTATGCAATTGTTTTCGTCACTGCTGCAAAATAAGGTTGCGGAAACAGCATCACGATTAAAATTATTTTAGTCCATGCTATTATATATATAAGCATGTGAACATCATCAGGATTGAAAATCTCAGCAGGCTTTCTCAAAAGCAACTTTACGAAATTAGATACAGGTCTAAGAGTTCCAGCAAGATAGAGCATACAGCTCTATGAGTGTCTGTCCACGGCTAAAGCTATATAGTTATTGCCAGTTTGACCTATGGTTCAAAACTCTGGCTCATCAGAGCTAATAAAACTGGTTTCATACCTATGACTCATACTTAATAAAGATACATGTATATATGAGGAGAGCATGTACTACAACTCATTCAGGGTTGAGCAAAGCTTGAAAAGTACTGGCTGCTTAAGAAGCCACAATGAATAGATCATCTTCTTGTTCAGGAAACCTTGTGAGCTGCAAGCTGCATTTTGTCCGTGATATATATTTAGCTTTTGTTTGAGTTGGAAATAATGAAAAGCAAGATGATGTATATGAACGAAGATGGAACAACTTACTGGTTGTGTTTCTGAACACTTGATGGTTAAGAGTCAGCAGCTTCAAGAGTCCAATGATCTCTTTGTGGGAAGCAGAATGGTTTTGCTATTTTAATTCCTGCAATAATTTACATAAAATTTGGAGAAGAAAACAGTAAAAATTAGAAACTATGAATTTAGGCTCCATTTGATCCATACAAGCATTTCTATTGTAATTTTATTTCTTTTTTTATTCTAGCAATAGTTTATAAAATTGTAATTGGATAACCCTACTTGAGTTTCGCATTCTTGTTTAAAAAGTAATAATTATCCTAATCCTACCATTCTAACAAGATCATTGAACTTCTTTTTCCTCTAAAAACAAAAAAGGTTCACATTTGATACAATATATGTATAAAAATTGATATATTCAGAAGAATAATAATATAATTAATAATATTACAACCTTTTAGCAAAATATAAAATGCATAATTTGATCCAAAATCATATCCTCTTAAAAAGTGATAGAAATACTGTCGGACCAATGAATACTTGGGTATTGAATAACCATTTTTATTATAGATAAATAAAATTTTTCCTATGTCATGTCATGTGCACATAGTCGATAGGAAATTTCTATGCATTGATCTCTTTTTTGATAAATTGTTCCAATACTTATGAATTATTAAATTCTTTTGAAGATATTGCCTCTCATATAATTCATGCAATTTTTGGAAGATATAGCTTCTTATAAATGAAAAATCTTTTCAAATTAATATGGTATGGTTGGGATCCCATCCTTTTAGTTTATATGATATTTCAAATAGTTAGAAATTTCAAAAATCCAAATTTTAATTTTCTGAAGGTAAAAAAAAAAAAAAAAAAAAAAAAAAGATACCAATAGAATGGAAATTGTAATAAAAATATCATTTCAATTTTATGTTCTATTCAAGTTTTCTTGTTTTTGTGATTTCTTTATTAACAAATAAGAATACAAATCTATAGTTATGAAATTAAATATATAAAAACAAAATTAATTTAATTATATACTAAACATGCAAATAATAACTAACTTTTTACATATTGTAAAATTAAAATCTAAAAACTTGAGTAGAAATAAAATAAATCTATTAAACCCATATAAATTGTTGATGGATAAGAATATATACTTCCATATAAATTGTTGGTTAATTCATGGTATCACTTGACAAAAGTAAATTTATTTTCAACATCAAATGCTTTCTGATTTTTTTTTTTTACTTTTTTAAAAGTTCTTTCAACAAATAAAATTATAGAGAATAAAAGTGATTAATTTAATTTTTAATTAAGCGTCCAGACCACCTCCAACAAGTTGGGATTAAACCCAAGGCCAGATCTTCATCATTCCTAATATACGTCCATTCTTTTATAATCTACAGCAAACAGTTTTATCATGTCCCAATTAACAGTAAGTAAATATGCGTATATATATATATATATATGTATACATATGTTATAATTTTAACGATAAAGGTATTACTGCAATAATTTTTTGCATACTAAGATTAAGAGTTGAGCTAGTTAATTAGAAGGAAGAGAACTTTAGGTAAAGAAGAAACCTGAAAGGACGTTGGATCAGGAATGTGCAGCTTTGTAGTTGATAGAATAAGGGTTAGTGTTGGGCATCGAGTCCCTGGAAGCTCCCGATAAGTGAGCAGAAGAAGAAAGCTGAAGAGCCGCAGCCGGTGCCGACAAAGTACCGGGTAAAACAAGAGATTGCATATAAGCCGCTGGGAATACTCCAGGAATTGGTGAAGTTATGGCAGGAGCAGCTGCTGCCATCTGCATCCTCATCATCTCCCAATGACTCATCATCAGGGAACCATTTACAGCAGGTAACATCATGGGGGACATGTAATTATACCCACTTCCCATCCACATCATCTGCTTCATTTAATTTGTGTATATATGTAACTCTTTCTTATTTTTGAGAATATATATATTAAGAGAAACAAGAAAAGGATCTACATATATATATGTGTGTGTGTGTGTGTGTACCTGTAGTTGAAGTTGAAGGGTCTTCATATACTCAATTGCCTCATCCAGCATTGCAGCTTTATCCACCTTCATTCAGCACATGGAAAAAAATCAGCTACCTATACACACACAAATATTAAACATCTCTTTTGTATATTTTCGAGAAAGAAAGGGAGAAACCTTATTGCAGTTGGGTATGAGCTCTTGCAATGCACGCATCTTCTTGTTGAACTTGTCTCTACGTTTCTGTAATTTGTATATGTATATATTTCAAGCCAATTACTTAAAACTTAAAGTTTCAGTTTTTATACTTCAGAAAGAAAAAAAAAAACTTCTTTCTTTTACCCTTTCAGATAAGTTATGAACTTGTGCTGTTCCACTTTTCTTGGGAACTGGTTTGGGTCTCCGAGCAAGCACTGGTTTCATCGTATCTTCACCTTCTTCCTTCTCATTCTTCATGCACCAAACAATTTCCTCATCAGAATATGGAAAAAGATGAGAAATTAACCAAATGAAATTTTAATTTACATACTTCACTTAAATATCCTGCCTCGTCATTTATCTGATGATAACTCCTCTTCAAAATATAAGTTGAGTCATTGGAAGCGCCACGGGAGCGTACTGAATTTGATGCAACCGGTACTTCCCCAATCGTTTCGTCGCTGTGCTTTCTTTTGTTTCTGTTGACCCGTAAACTATCATGAATCTGGGTACGATGTGTTTCAACAGCCGCAGATTGCTCGTCCCCCGGCACCATCATCTCAGTCCTTTCTATCTGGGCTCTATTTGAGTAATTTGGTTGGTTTAATTCAACATTTTTTATACTCTTTGAGCAATTTCTTTGCATCTCCTGGACTCCTGATGATAAGTGCCTCCAGGAGCAGTTGGGTTTACCAAGGACTTGGGGTGTCAAGAACATAGAGAAGTTTCTCCTCTCACTTGCTTTACCAGTTATTGAGTACTGCTTCTGCGACCTTGATGAGTCAAGACGAGGATCTAAAGCTTGAGGAATTATTAGAATGTTATCAGTATCTGGTACTGTGGGCAGACAATTAGTGTTTGTAAAAGGCTCAGCTGCTTCCAGATTTCCATATTCATTTACCGGAACGGTTTGTGGGTCGTTTACGTTCTTACTTCTCTTGTGTTCATAGAAGAAAGCTGCAGCTGATTTAGGGTAATAAGAAGGAGAAGACTCCATCATCTTCTCATCATTGTCACCACCCAACTTTCTCCGATCCAAGATCGACTGCCGCAACAAAGGGTACTTGTTGATATGATCTGGTGCAGCCTCAAACCTTACTCTCTTTGGCGCAGAAGTGTCTTCCCCCCTTTGTTCTTGAGCTTTAGAAGACTGGTAAGAATAGCCAAGGAAGGAGGGGGTCTTTTGAACTGAGGATTTTCTCGACAAACCTCGCATTCTAACTCGACCATCCTCCCATATCAACTCTTCATAATCATCATTAGATCTGCAACAATATATGTTAGAAATTAACACCCATAACATGATATATAAAAGAAACACCTGAGTGTACATACAAAGAAGTTAGAGAAAAAAAGCATATGTCGCGGCTAAAGTAACCAAGGGAAGCATCTTTGGAGGAGACGATCCAAAGGAGTCTTGAGCCATGGTTTTAGGTTCAAGACATCGATTCAAATATATCCACTAGGAAATACAGTCCTAAAATTTTGTTTGAATTGAGCTATAAAATGTAGACTCACTTAAGATCTGAACTAAAAAGAAACTCTCCACTCAGGTTTATTTTTGAATTAGCAGAATGGAAACGGGGAATCTTACCTGATCATGGCTTCGTCCCCCACTGAAATCCTACCTAGAAATGAGCAGATTCGAAGCAAGGCATGAAATGATAGTCGATTGGGTGGTGGTGACAAATATGATAAGAGCAGGAGGTTTGGTTGGAAAGATCCTGGGTTTGAAACTTAGCAAGCTGTCCACAGAAACTTTCCCACCGCCCAGCTTCGTATATTTATAGCAATGGAGGTTACGCATCCACGAGTCCAGGTGGACCCCCACACCTATATCCACGTACCACGTACCCCCCCTGCGATGATAGCAAATGCCTCTAGGGTTGACAAAATTTTGAAGGATGCCAATTAAATAGATTTAATTAGGTTAGGTTTGATTATCAATATGATGGGTGGAATTGTTTGAATTAGAAAAGGAATTAATAATGTCTATTTTGATGCATAAAATTATAAAAAAATAGAGATATATACATATATACATGAGAATAGGGATTAAGAATTCATGAACTTACTCCATATAACATTATTATTAGATATAGTACTAGCCTCCCAAACTAAGTAGGGAGCAACTTGTTATAATTTCTAAAAGTTCAGCCAAAAGAAGCCATTAAGAAATGTCATCAAAGGGCATAGTATAAATTGAAAAAGAATAACAAAAAGAAGAAAACCAAAGCATTATTAGTGTTTCCCTTTTCAATCACTAAATTAATATTCTCCATTATTGCTAATTCCAAAACACAAGCAAAACCAATGTCTCAATTTGCTCTATTGAGAGCTTAGAGAGTTTTTACATCCCTATAAATGTCATATTGTCCGTGGAATCCACACAAACAACTCCAAGACCTACCTAGTTAGAATCGACCAAAGAAACATTCATATTCAATTGTAAAAACCAAAGTGATTTTTATCCCCAAGATGAAATGTTTCTAGAGCCAACATTGTAGGTTACTCATAATTTTGGGAGTTGTTCGTTCAACTTTATTTGAAGGATGTTATTTAAATTATAAGTCTTAATCTATTTATTTTTTAAACAGATGAGTATGTTACAAGCCCACTAAACGTATCATAAAAACATCATAAATCTCTCATGCATTACCTCATGATGAAATTATTGAACAACCAGTCATGGAAATTTAAAGAAAACATGTTTGTTTATATCAATATCAAATTATTTACCTTCTAAATCAATTAGTTTAATATATAAACATCCCAAGAACAAGTGATCACAAGATTTTTCATGGGTTCCACACATAGGAGTCAAAGAATAGTGTAAACATGGTAAATATGCTTGCATAAATGTCAAATAAAGTGTTTTACCTTCAAGTAAATGGAAGCATGCCAAATTACTTTTCAATCTAAAGAAGAGTATCATGGATGGAAAATACCTTGGTTATGAACTTTATTCAATCAGGCTAATATAATAAGTCGATTTTATTGTGTATTATGCATATCTGAATTGACTACTAAAAGGAATCTATACTATATACTCCACTTTAAATGATAGGAAATGCCCTCAATGAAAGTAACATTAAAAGATGGAGAAAAGAAAATTAATAAGTCTAAACATGATAATTCGATAAGAGCATGAAAGTTGATTTATCTATTTCATATTAGTTTAAATTTTTGAGATAATGAATTCTATAAATCATATAACATGATATAAAAATTAAATGTCTACTATTTAAATCTCGATTCTTCCATCTCTATTAAAAATCAGGTTCACATAAAACTCAATGAGTTTGTACATGATTCACACTTTCAGCTAGTGGGCTTATGCATGAAGGAAATATATTAGAATATAAATAATTGAATGAATAATTTTCATTCAACTTAAACTTTTAGAATGATTAGTTTAATTAAGTATTTAATACATATGAATATTGAAAAATAACTTCCAACAAGATTAGAAGGACCTGTGCATAATTGATTTAACATTTTTCCGCATATAAATAATTAATTTGCCTCTTTCTTATTAATTTAAATTTTTGAGATAATCAGTTCAATCGTTCATTTAACATAAGAGATCAAACCAACTTAAAATGTTTAAAAAATAATCATTTATAAAACCAAATATGACCATCATCTTCATGCCATATTGATTACTAATAACAAGCTATGTTATTTCCTTAAAGAAAACATTATAAAGCGAGTTTTAATTTTTAGCTAACAATTGAGTTTTGCTAGTGCCTGAGTCAATAATGGTTTCTTTATTTCCTAACTCATCCATTTCGAACCATGATCGTAGAATCAAGAGTAACCCTTCACTTATGTTAATTCTTTTTAGATCGAGGTAGTCAAAAGTGTATACCTAACTCATGGTTCGAAGGGTTACTCAACCCTTGGGGTCGACTCACCTCTACCTCCACATGTTGTTATTGATATATTACTAACTTGTCCATTTTGAATCATGATTGTATAATCAAGAGTAACTCTTCGCTCACATTAAGTCCGATTAAGTCAAAATAGTCCAAGATGTGTATTTACCTAATCGTTCTAAAGAAACATAACAATAACAACATAGTGAGGTAAAAAAAAAGTTAAATTTAAAGGTTGAGACTCATTTTTATCTATTAGTCAATGACATTTCAAATTCAAGTCTTGAATTTCCTGATAATAGCTTGGAGTTCCAAGCTGAGGATTTATAAGACTATTATGCCTAAATCAAGTCAGGTTAGTAATG